ATGGCATGAATCTATGGACAATAAGGATAAAAATTATAGTTCTTACACCGCTGGCAAGACCTTGCTTAAACTGTAAAATACAAAAAAACACTTTTTACTGAGCACTTTCGCTGTCAAATCTTAATATTTTTTTTTAAGTGGATATTTGTACTCAAATGTCACTTTGTTATCAATTCATTTGTCATCTTCATTAGAAAGTTTAAGACAAGCAACACGCCTACACCGCCTACTACTGGAAAAAAGGACAAAAATCGACACAAGGACAAGGATTATTGGTACAAGGAATTTGTTGCGCTTGACACGTATGTCCATACGTATAACAAAGCAAGTCCAGCCACGACCGTAGGCTTGCTACCTGTTCTTATTGCTAGCTTTTGGTGAAAATGTGCGGCGTCTGTGATTTCAGCCGCAAAAACGGATTCAGATACTCCAGCTGAGGCCAGTATGCTTGAGATTGAACAGATTGAGCATTGGATAGCCATGAGAGATCCGGTTGGACTTCTCAAGCTGATCGATTCTGGGGATCAAAGCTTGCGGTCCATTAGCACACTGGTTAATGTCTGATGAATTTTGTGAACAGAACTAAAGGCCACCATTTAATTTGATGGCAACGCTGATAAAATACGCGACTGAGGAACAGCTGGTTCAAATTGTGATGAAAAAGCAAACATACGTGGATGTTGAACGATTGAAGACAATGTTATTTCTGGACTGGTTTGACAGCTTGAAAAGCGATGAAGATGTCAAGAATCTGCTTCGTCGCAGTGGATTGGACACTAGTAGAAGTATTTTTTGTCTTAATTCGTTTAAGGAATTTTGCATGAACAAGGCCGACCTTATAAAACCTACTTTGTCCGAGAACGTACCTACGCCAGCAGACAACACGATTGGCCACGACAGCAATTATGAAAGCTCGCTGCTCGCTGCGTACGAGACGTCTCTTGCCAATTATAACGAGAAAAATCCAAACATGCAGCTGAGATTGCCCGCTATCCTTAGGGCTGTTTCTGACAAGTCTGAATTGGCGGCGAGAACTCAGTCTGCGAAATTATCTTCAAGTTATGCAGAATCGGACACGCAACTTGATATTCAAGAAGCACTACGACAACAGTGTTCTGACCTCAACTTTCGAAAAAGAGATGCTTGAACACCCGCACAGTTCTTCACGTGTGGAAGACGTGTATTTTCCTAACTTGTTTAGTAGGATGATAAGTCCTGACAGACTCTCGAATCTGCTCAGTCAGGGAATTGAAAAGAACACTGATTTTGATTTTCTTGTGGAGAATTATTGGCAGTTTGTCGACAGCATGGGTCCCCCTGATTTATTAGAAGATATCAAAAAGTGGTGCAAGACTAAGAAGACCGTAGAAGCGCAGCTGGACAACCTATTAATTGCACTGTAGACACAGCTTACGAGCGAGACAAGATCCTTTACGACAGCAAGGTATTTGCTGCATGTGAAAGCTACATTTGCTCTCACAATAAAGCGAGACCATTTGCGCAGATATAATTGCTCCCTGCACTAACCGCTCGGTATGGTGATCGTGATACATCGACCATAATTTTAGCAGCTACATTGCACCCAGAGACTGCAAAAGTTGCCGAACTTCTTGTAATTGAGCAGATTGAGCATTGGATAAAAGCCGGTAAAAATCCAGATCAAGTTTTTGAGCTGATGGACTTTGACTTTCAAAGCCTGTCGTCGATCAACAAGTGGTTTTGATTTGTGGATACATATTTTCTGAGCCATGAACTGTTGTCGTTTATTTCAATTTCGACCTTAAAAAACGTTTCAGCATTCGAGAATAATCGCGACATAGAAAAAGCTGAATGATGTCGAAGGATTAAAGGAACTGGTGATTCATGATTTGTTCAATAGTATGCAAAGCGATTCAAATGTGTTGGAGCATCTATGTGACGGCGGGCGAAACGACATGATCGTCAACCTCCTTTTTGAATTCGCTCAATCAATTCAATGGCACGGTGACAGATTTGCCTGAATTAACGATGCTTGAGGACGGTCGCAATTTTTAAGTTACTCACATCCGATATAATGAACCAGCTCAATGTGGAGGATCGCGCTCATGATGGTTTGTTGCTTAATGCTTACGACATCTACGTTAGTACCTACAAGGAGAGTTCTACGAAGTATTTGAGCTTGCTTGCGGTACTCATTGCTAGGTTTGGATCTCGTGAGGTGTTAAAGATGATCAATTCAGTAAAATCGGATAAGTTGTTGTGGGAATTGCTAAGCATCTTGAAGTTGATCAATAAGTTGACCCGGGAAGTAGCCTCGGCATGTTGGAACTGATGCTTCGTGATCAAAATAGCGATTTGGCTAAAAATGTTTCTGCGATTAAATTTTTTTTACTTCATCATATTTTAATTTATGAATATTGACCATTTTTTATGAACTAAAACTATTCTATTTTGCGTCACTTGCTTTCGTGCTGCGGCAATATACCTTTCAGTCGTGCTCTTCCTTTCCAAAGACAATGTTGCTCTTGTCATAAACAAAGTTAGCCACATGGTGAGCTATCAAGATTCGACGCTGGAGTAAAAGCTAGAGTTGACAGTTGACACATGTCGTCGTTTTCATCTCCAATCTCGTTTTTCAATTTTTAGACAAGCTCCTCACTCACTATAAGCATCACATCATATCGCATCCTTCCACTGCCGTCATGCACGAAATGCAAGACAAATGCTTTTGTTCGAGTGCTGTGTACTGGTTGAGTGTAAGAACAAGAAATGACTTTATTTTCGCTTTCAAATAATAATCTATTCTTAAAAAAATATTTTGTACTCAAATGTCAAATTTGCTTACTGCTAATTAGATGAGTGGATTTCTTGCATTCATTAGTACAATATAGCTAAAAGCTGCCTTCTAAAAACCAGCTTG